ATGCGTGTGTCTGTGTGTCTGTGTCTGTGTGTGTTGATGCATTTGCTAGGTTCTCCTGGCTACAAAGAAGAGACATGCTAAAGCAACTTCTCTTGGTCGCTTTGGGCTTGCAAAGCACAGGTGACTTTTTCAGAACCCAACCTGCTCACAGGCAGAGAAGCCCAGTATGGAAAGCGCTGGTTCCACCCAGTCTCTCCTGCTCCACAACAGAGGTACCATGAGAAGGCCCATTTGAGAATCACAAAATCAGTCTGAGCCCGGTGGAACCAAAGAAAATCAGAGATCTAAACCAACTCTCAGTAGAGGAGCCACAGGAGACAGCGTGCAGCCAGATTTCACAGGGACATGAGTGGATGGTGCTCAGAAGGCATCCTCTCAGGCTGGAGGGGCGTCACTGGGGGGCTTCACTCTGGGCTCTGCCACCAGCACGACTGTGGCCCGCTGCACGCCCCTTCTCAGCCGCACTCAGTGTGACTTCTAGGGATGGTCACGAAGCTTCCACAGCCCCCCTCACTTAGTCAGGATCTGTTTAAGACCCTAGACGGAATTTCTGTAGCCCTAACTTGAGGATCCTTTTTCTTGAAGGGGCCCCCAGAATTGCATAAGCATCGGGCCTGCAGTAGGTTGACTGGCAGAGCCCGGTGGATACACACCCCTTGGCTTGGTAGTTCTTCTCCCGAAAGATCCAGGTTATTTCCCCACCCCTTGCACTTCTGCTTGTGCCCAGAGAACACTCCGGGGCCAGCCTGCTTGGACAGACTCACAGACACACAGGACAGAGCCGCGCCACCCCAGCTGACAGCCAGAAGGCCCCAGAAATGGAGAGGGCCCACTTGAGACCAGAAGGGTCCCTGGGACTAAATCACTGACTCACAGACTTGTGTGTGGCAGCATTGTGTGGTGACAGAAAACTAGCAGAAAAGCCCACAAAACCTAGACCTGCCCTGCAGCAGCTGTCTTGCTCTGCACCCGCCACAGCATTACCCTGGTCCATTCTAGTCCCTCAAGCCTCTCCTCGCTGCCCCTGTGCCTCACAGCTCTGCACAGGGTCCCCTCCTGCCTCTCCTCCCTCCAACCCCCCACACCCCTCCCACTGACGCTGTTCAGATCATAGCAGACCTTGCACCTATGGAGCCATCTGGGACTTGTCTAACTTACAAGAGCAACACATGTTCATCTTAGGAAAATAAATAGTGAAATACAGATAAAAATTGAAAAAAATAAGATGTAGTTGCCCCCCTCACCAGTCTCACCAGCCTTCTCATTACTTTTAACAATAAGGTTGCTTTACTCATCTTTGGTCTCCTCGTGCATCGTTCACTGCGACACATCCGACGGAGGCACTGACCTGTCATATGAGCTTGTGTTTCTCTGTGCTCGACAGACTGTCACTGCACACACCACTGTCTGCTTCCCCAAACTCCCCTCGGTGCCTGGGACTTACAAACAGCAGGTGATCTTTTCAGAACCCAACTTCTTCCTACTCCTGTGGGGAAGGGGCCAGCTTAGCTGGCCTCCCACTGTGGAACAGAAGTCCTTGCCAGCTGTGCCACCAGCATCTGGATCTGCATTTGGCACATAATAGGTGCTCAGTAAATATTGACAGAGAATGAATTTTAAAAATAGCCTGTGTTTGTTGCATTCTCCTCCTGCCCCTGGCTCTGTGCACACTGCTGAGAAACTGTCTAGCACCTACGAACCAGGCTCTATTCTTTTTTTTTTTTCAGATTAATACCAGGGTGCATATGATTCAGTTACACTGTTTGTGTTTATAAGGTAAAGTCTGAGTTGTAGCTGAGTCCTTCGCCCAAGAAGGGTGCCATATACCCCTACATTGTACCCATTAGGTGGTAACCCACTGAACTCCCCTTTCTTCTCCCCTCTTCTTGAATTTGTGTTTTTATAACCTTTAACTATTCTCAGCAACTATTCCCGAACGCTTCAATTGCCCTTGGACCTGAATGCATGACATCTTTCTATCAACTTACGCTATGCTCTGTACTTTATATAATTATCATATTGAATCCTCACTACTAATCCAGAGAAAGGTGACATTCCCATTTTTCAGATAAAGAAATTAAAGCTCGGCTTGGCACCTGAGGCACAGTGGTTATGGCACTGGCCACATACACCAATGCTGGCAAGTTCAAACCCAGCCCAGGCCTGCTAAATAATGACAACTGCAACAACAACAACAAAAAAAAATAGCTGGGCGTTGTGGTGGGCATCTGAAATCCTGGCTACTTGGGAAACTGAGGCAAAGAATTGCTTAAGCACAAGAGTTGAAGTTGCTGTGAGCTGGGATGCCAGAGCACTCTACTGAGGGTGACATAGTGACACTCTGTCTCAAAAAGAAGAAAAGAAATTGAGGCTCAGAGAGCAAGTAACTTGCCCAAGTTCACATAGCTAGCAAGTGGCAGAGCCAGGGCTCAAACCCATACCTGGCTCATATAAACAACCCATGCTGCCTCCTGCAGAGGTGTAGGGAGCGAGAACAGCTGCCTTCACAGCCTGCTCAGCGCAACCATGAACAAAGAACCTGACATCAAAAAGTTAATAAAACAGAATCCTAAAGCTGTTGCCATTGGGGTGTCCACGCCAAGGTTCTGTTTAAAGCAAGTTCTTCAAAAGCGAAAGAATGTTTTATCATGAACTGAAAACAAGGCAAGTAACTGATGCCACCAACCTTGAATGTTTTCCAGCTCTACTGGCCCTGCTCTGCAATCTATGGGATGAGAAACTGGGTGTCAGCTAAGGTCTTCCCAGGAATTCAGGCAAAGCTTATTTTTGAAAAAAACACAGGTCTCCAAAGAGTGGGGGGGGGAGGCAATGTATGGTCTGAATTTTTGTGTCCCCAGAAAATTTGTGCATTGAAACCTAATCTCCAATGTGATAGTGTCAGGAAGTGGCCTTTAGGTGGTGATTAGATCATGAGGGTGGAGCCCTCATGATGGGATTAGTGCCCTTATAAAAGAGGCTGGAGAGTGCTCCACAGCTCCTCATGAGGACACAGTGAGAAGTGATCCTCTGTGAGGAACAGTCCCTCAGCAGACACAGAATCTGTTAGTGCCTTGATCTTGGACTTTCCAGCCCCCAAAAGTATGAGAAACAAATTTCTGTTGCTAATAAACTACCCACTCTATGGTATTTGTTACAGCACCTCCAGTGGACTAGACCCACAGGGGATTAACCTGCTGAGAGGATGAGAAAACAAAAGGGCACTTGGATTCTCACCACAGAGCATCTGTCACATTTGCCACCTCCTCCTCCTCCGGTTCCCACTGTGTGTGACAGCCGCTGAAACTGACAAAGTGGAAGTGCTGCAGTTCAGGCTCCCTCTGCCCAGAAAGCTGGATCTTTTCTTAATGACCTAGATTTGTTTGGAAAAATAAAAGCAGCAGTTAGGCTACATGTGGGATTCTTCTCTGGTTTTACCAGAATCTCCTGGCGCAACGTGTCTCCCCAGACACAGAGAATGCATTTTAAATTCCTCTAGTCCTATCACACAGAGATAACTGATATTAAATATATATGTGTGTATGTGTGTATTTATATATGTATCATTACCAATCTGCAGAAAAGCAATTTGCTCCAGGTTTTTGCTAGGGCTTTTTTTTGATAGGGTCTTGCTCTGTTCCCCAGGCTAGAGTGCAGTGGTACGATCATAATTCATTACAGACGGTGCCTTTAGCTCAGTGGGTAGGGCGCCAGCCACCTACACCAAGGCTAGTGGGTTCAAACCTGCCCCAGGCCAACTAAAACAACAATGACAACAGCAACAACAAAATAAGTAGTTGAACATTGTGGCAGGTGCCCATAGTCCCAGCTACTTGGGAGGCTGCAGCAAGAGAATCACTTGAGCCCAAGATTTTGAGGTTGCAGTGAGCTGTGACGCCATAGCACTCTATCCAGGGTGATAGCTTGAGACTCTGTCTTAAAAATAAATAAATAAATAACTCATTGCAACCTTGAGGGTTCAAGCCATCCTCCTGCTTCAGCTTCCCAAGTAGCTGGGACTACAGACACATACCATGGCACCTGGCTATTTTTTTATTTTTTGTAGAGATAGGGTTTCACTGTGTCTCCCAGGATGGTCTCAAACTTCTGGCCTTAAGTGATCACCCTGCCTTGGCCACTCAAAATGCTGGAATTACAGGCATGAGCCAGCATGCCCAGCCTATTAGGGCTTTTTGATAGAGGAAAAATACAAAAAGAAAATATGGTTGGGGGTGCTGTTGATAATACTGGAGAATATGAGTGGGAGGGGGTAGGGGCATGTGGGAAATCTCTATACCTTCTGCTCAAAATTGATATGAACCTAAAACTGCTCTAAAAAAAAATGAAGTCAATTTTTGTGAAGAAGGAGGAGGAGAAGGAGAAGAAAGAAGAAGAAGAACTCGGCATCTGTAGCTCAAGTGGCTAAGGCACCAGCCACATATACTAGAGCTGGCAGGTTCGAATCCAGCCCGGGCCTGCCAAACAACAATGACAACTGTGACAACCAAAAAATAGCCAAGTGTTGTGGCAAGCACCTGTAGTCCCAGCTACTTGGGAGGCTGAGGCAGGAGAATTGCGTAAGCGCAAGAGTTTGAGGTTGCTGTGAGCTGTGACACCACAGCACTCTACCCAGGGCAACGGCTTGAGATTCTATCTCAAAAAAAAAAAAAAAGAAGAAGAAGAAGATGATGATTATGAAAGAAAATGACCAATAATGCAAGCAAACGTTAAAAAAGAGACAGAGAGAGAGAGAACCAAAAGTAAAAGTCTTCTCTCTATTCTGCACCTACCTCCAGAACTGCTAAGGCAGGGGTCCTCAAACTTTTTAAACAGGGGGTCAGTTCACTGTCCCTCAGACCATTGGAGGACCGGACTGCGGGCTCCAGGACGAGTTGGCTGCTAAACAGGACAGGCAGTGGCGGCAAAAATACCCTGCGGGCCAGATAAATGTCCTAGGAGGGCTGCATGTGGCCCGCAGGCTGTAGTTTGAGGACGCCTGCACTAAGGTAACCCCCTTGGCCTCTGTCGCCTCCCTGAGGAAGTTTACCATTTCCCCAGCACATACCTGTGAGGTACACACAGGTCATCATACCAAGTACGTCACTCTGCCCTTGGTTTCTTTCACTTAATAATATAGTTTTCCCAAACAATACATGCAGATCAGATAGACCTCATTTTTTTATCATTTCCAGGGAGCTGCATTGTGTGTAGGTTCTAAAATTTCTTTTGCCCGTCTCTATTGCTGAATTATCTTCCCTTATGAACACCACAATGAGCATCCTTACACATATGTTGGTGCACTTTTTTGCAAGTAAAGCCATGGAATTGCTGAATCAAAGGAATTTGTTCCTGAAACCCTGATAGATACTGTCAATTGCTCGCTGAAAATATTGCCCCAATGTATACTTCCACCAGCGGTGTATGTGTGAGTTTAAGTACCTGTTTCCCCAAATCTAAGCCAATATTAACCTTATCAACCTTTTATCAAACCATTATATATTCTTACTTTGTATTAGTCAGGGTTCTCCAAAGAAACAGAAACATTGAAGAGAAGAGAGAGAGAGAGATACCAATTTGTGCCAAGGAATTGGCTTACATGACTTTACAGGATTCTGGGGGCTGGGAAGTCCAAAACCTGTACGGTTGATCAGAAGGCTGGAAATTCCGGCAGGAGCCAATGCTGCCGCACACTTAAGGCAGAATTCCTTCTTCCTCAGGGAAACTTCAGTTTTGCTCTTAAAGTCTTTCAATTAATCAGGAAAGACCCAGTCATATTATTGAAGACTTAAAGTCAACTAACTGTAGCTGTTAACCATATCTATAAAATACCTTCATGGCAGCATATAGATTAGTGTTTAATTGAATAACTGGGACAATAACACCACCAAGGTGACACATAAAACCAACCCTATACGCACACGCACACACACACACACACACGCCTATTCACACTGTTCATGTTTCTATTGAAGTGTTTTTTATTTTTCTGAGAGTTCTTTATATTATGAGGGACGTTAACCTTTTGTCTTTCATATGTCTTGCAAATGTTTTTTGGGTATCATTTCTTATTTGATTTTGTTTCTGAAATCATCTGTCAACCAAAGAATTACTATTTCTATTCATCAGATCCATCGATCTTTTCTTTAATAGCATCTGAATTTCCCATCTGATTAAGGAGGTCAATCAGAGACACTTTAGGAGCCATGGTAACCAACCCATTCATCTAGGTTTTCTAAATGCTGCCCCTGAATGATGGAGTCACAGGCAAGCAGTGCACTTGGCATTGGCCTGGCTCCCATTGAAGCTAATACTTGATGAAGCATTAATTAATATTAGGCCCCTGCTTTTATCGGGGGTCAATATGATGCTAGAGGTGTGCATCTTCTGCAAAATTGCAATGGCTCATTTTGTTATTCAAGGCCTCTTGCAGAAGCAGTCACATAATAAATTCCTCTTAGCAGAACATGCCAGGAGAAACACTCATTGATAGAAAGGACTCAAGCAGACTATAGGAGACAAAGAACCATCTAGAGTGCTGCTTTGTCGTGACTGCCAGGAAATCTAGAACTAAACACAATGCTCCAGTGCAGTAATGACACAGCCTCACTCTAGGGTAGAAGACTTACCCCAAGCCCCTGCACATACACGCACCTTCCTTTGTGTATTTTCCCAAGCACGATCTTTGACTACCCTCTTATAGATCTGGGTTTTATTTTAAACCACCTCCAGTCCCCTTTGGAAGTGGGTGAAGCACAAATACAGACATAAATAAAGTGACTGAACGCTCAGCACCCATAGCTCAGCGGCTAGGGTGCCAGCCACATACTCCGGGGCTGGCGGGTTCGAACCCGGCCCAGGCCTGCTAAACAACAATGACAACTACAACAAAATAATAGCCGGGCGTTGTGGTGGGCTCCTGTAGTCCCGGCTACTTGGGAGGCTGAGGCAAGAGAATTGCTTAAGCCCAAGAATTTGAGGTTGCTGTGAGCTGTGATGCCATAGCACTCTACCAAAGACAACATAATGAGAATCTATCCAAAAAAAAAAAAGTGACTGAAGACACAAGAATGAAGACACTTGTCCGATGGTGGCAAACTTGGCACAGGAGTTTCTGTTGGAACCATGATTTATTAATATTTTGTAAATGCTAAGGGAAACATGAGGACAGAGGCACAGTGAAAAATTTGGACCCCAAGTTACATCTGTCTTCCCCAAGTGGTGAAATTGGAAGCCAACCTGGAGAAATTTCAGGAAAATTCCAACAACTAATGAGTGGTGAAACTCCACTGGGTATCTAAAGCAAAGGTTTCAGGCAGACCTATCCCTAACATTTGGGGGCCAAGGCTAGAGTACAAATGGAGGCCCACATGTCATATATTACAATATCGTAACTTTCTAGGCCCAGCACAGTGGCTCACACCTGTAATCCTAGAACTCTGGGAGGCTGAGACGTGTATTGGTTGAGCTCAGGAGTTCAAGACTAGCCTAAGCAGGAGCAAGACCCTGTTTCTACTAAAAACAGAAAAACAACTAGCAGGGTGTTGTGGCAGACACATGTAGTCTCAGTTACTCAGGAGGCTGAGGCGAGAGGATTGCTCAAGCCCAAGAGTTACTGTGATCTATGATGATGCCACAGCACTCTACCCAAGTGACAGAGTGAGAGATACTGTCTCAAAAACAAAAAAATCTCAACATCTAAATCAAGCCTTAGAAACTATCAAATCAAGTGTGTCTGATCTTCCCATCTGAATAAAATATCTTCCTAGCAACCCGGAAGCCAGGTTAGAATGTAGGATTCTCAGAAGTTCCACACCAAAATGTGGCAGTCTAGAAACAGCTGGCCTCCCATCCCCAGACCCCCACCCCTAAGCCACTCCCCTTCTCCTCCCTGTCCTGCACACCCCCGGGCACCTCAGACTTCACATCCAAGTTCTGTCCACGCGCCCTGCAAACAGCCGCCCTTTGGCCATTCCTCAGACCTAGGGATGCGACACTGACAGTGAGCTTGGAGCAAAGTACAGTTCCCAGGAAGCTCACAGCCACGTGAACACTTCACAGGGAAGGGCACAGACAGAGGAAGGACAGGCCTAAGGGAGGCTCTAGATTTGGGGAGAATAATTCAATAGTATTGTAAATTGATCAGCTCTGGGCTCTCCATTATAGTCCAGATAAAAAGCCCTTGTGGTCACTGTCAACAGATTCCTGATACTCTTGCCCCTGCCCTGAGTCAGGCTGCAGCTGAATCTGAAATGCTGAGCCCTGTGTGCAACCCTGGGGGCCAGCCCCACTGACCCAGCAGAGGTCCCAAGAACACAAGACTGTTTCCTACAATGAGAGAAGAAAGGCATGGGCACTCTTCACCCTGGAAGGAAAAAGGATAAAAGGGGGAAAATTAGGATCTGTCCTAGCCTTCAGGAAATGAATGAGGTGAACATGGATGAACTACCTTCATATTCTGGAATATTCTCTCTAGCAGCCACTCCTTAAAGCCTGAGGAAGTTGGATTTATGATGTAAATTATTAAAGCCACTGCACATAACAAACAAATGGAGCTCTTTAACCCGGGAGGAAATAAAAGCTGAATAGCATTTGGTTCTAGAGGTGGGGGTGGGGTGACCATAGCCGTCCAAAGTCAACATCACCCACAACCTGCTCCAATTCTTTGATGCTGATTCCCTTAGAATCGGCTGTCAGAGCAGGCCAGTGAGTAGCTGGGGCTGAGGCCCTGCTAAGCTCTGGGCTTTTATGTTTTTGCTTTTTGATAACTTTGTGGTTTTGCAAGTCTAGCTAAAGTTTGCTTCTCCTAAGCCTTTCCAACAACCTTGAATGCTTGTCTTTGGAAAGTGGCTACTGCCTTCTCTGAAACTAAGGCATTTAAACACAGCACTCATCCATCCATCCATCCATTCATTCATTCAAGGAAGGTGCCAGCCTTGGGATGCTTCCATAGCTCTCTGCTGTTAATGATTTTCTTTCAACTATTTCACCTGAACTTCCAGGCTAACTCTCACCCTACTTCCTCCCAGTATAGAACTTCCAGAGGAAAATGGCCTTCCCTTTTCCCCAAAAATCTGCTTCTCTTTGAAATGCTATCCTCTTCACGGCCTCACCCCAAAGCCAAGCATGAATGTTCTGCCAGGCATATACCAGACACCCTGATTCAGTTTTATTCTACAGACTGTTTTTTCTTTTTTTTTTTTTGGACTTTCCCCTACGAGAGGTCCATAGACATTATGTTAGTCCTGTTCTTCCAAGAAGTAGATGTCGGAAGGGAATTCAATGTGCAAAGATTTTAGAGGAAAATATCTATGAGAGAAATGGGGCAGGAGTCAGGGAGGCTGGAGAAGCCGTCAGCCCACCGGCTGATCTGACGGCACATGGAGGGGAGAGGGCAGGAACGCTGAGTGGAGGGCTCTCCAGCTGAAGATGACTATTAGAGGGGTCCTGTGTCTCCCAGCTTGCCTCAGTGTCCCTGCCGCACTCCACCTTTGGTTCGGGATGGCCTCAGTGCAAACTCAGTAATGGATTTCAGAGCACAGAAGTGGGGACCTGGGTCACTTATGCCCCTGTGGATGGAAGCGTGTCAGGCATATTGTCACAGGCTCCTCAGAGGGTCACCAACTTGGGTTGGAGTAAGATTTCCTCTCTAGCATCATGCCTTCCTCAGTGGCCTCAACAGAAAATTAAGAGCTTGGTGTGTATGTGTGTATGTATGTACATGCGTGCACGTGTATGCTTGTGTGTGCATGAGCACACGTGGGCTTAGAAAGAGCCCTCTGCCACAGCCACAGGGACCTCTTGGAAGCCTCACCCTTCTCTGTTGCTCCCTTTAGACCATCCTGGTGGGCGACAGTGGTGTGGGGAAGACATCTCTGCTGGTCCAGTTTGACCAGGGCAAGTTCATCCCAGGCTCCTTCTCAGCCACCGTGGGCATCGGATTCACAGTAAGTACTTGCTGGCACTGCCAGCTTTAGCCCTGAACCCTGAGGCCCCGGAGTATCTCTGTCAGGGACCAGCAGGAAACAGGTGGGACATTCACATTGGATCATCCAAGGAGGTTTAAGGAGGAGACTATTCCCCAAGGCGTAGGAGAGTGTCAGGTAATCAGGAGGGATGCTATAGTCCCCTTGGGTGGTAAGGGGCTTTATCCATCTCTAACATAAAAGGGAGAGGGGGCAGTTGTGGTGGCTCACACCTGTAATCCCAGCACTCTGGGAGGTCGAGGCAGGTGAATTACTTGAGTTTATGAGTTCAAGACCAGCCTGAGCAAAAGCTAGACCCTGTCTTTAAAAATGGCTAGGCGGGGGCTTGGCGCCTGTGGCTCAAGTGGCTAAGGTACCAGCCACATACACCTAAGGTGGCGGGTTCGAATCCAGCCCAAGCCCACCAAACAACAATGACGGCTGCAACAACAACAACAACAACAAAAATAGGCAGGCATTGTAGCGGGCACCTGTGGTCCCAGCTACTTGGGAGGCTAAGGCAGGAGACAGGCAGGCTTGAGCCCAGGAGTTGGAGGTTGCTGTGAGCTGTGATACCAGGGCACTCTACCCAGGGGGACAGCTTGAGGCTCTGTCTCAAAAAAAAAAAAGCTAGGTGGTGTGGCAGGTTTTGTTTTAAAACCCGCCTGTAGTCCCACCACCTACTTGGGAGGCTGCAGTCTCAGCTATTTGGGAGGCTGAGGCAAGAGGATCACTTGAGCCCAAGAGACTGAGATCGCTGTGAGCTATGACACCACAGCATTCTATCAAGGGTGACAAAGTGAGACTCTGTCTCTAAATAAATAAATAAACATAAAAAAGAAAAAATGAAAGAGAGAAGGGAGGAAGCATCACCAGACCCAGGGACAAGGAGGGCTGTTGGGCGAGTCCCTGGCAGGAGGGACAAGCAGCCCACAGAAACCCCAAGGGAGCCATCCAGGGGAACTAATCCCTGTCCTGCCTTGTTGTCCTGTCCCCCCATCACCTTCTGGGGCTCCCCACTGGCTAAATGAAACTGGAAGCTAGAAAGCAAAGGAGTGTCTTGACATAGATTGCTCAGGTCAGCCCTCCAAGGCAGGAAGAATCTGGAGGGACAAAGGAATGACAACGTAAGCACAGTCCAAACTTAGGGTTGCCACAGCGTCCCCTGTAGGGGAGCTGGCAGACTGAGGTTTGAGTTTGTTTTCAGCCCTGGGCACAGCACAGCACAGCACAGCTGTGGGTGAAGGAGGTGCAGCGTTCTCAGGCCTGTCCTGCCCACAGCCCCTCTGCAGCCCAGGAGCCCTGCTCTGCAGACATCCCATCTCCTCCACTCTCACAGCCCAGGGCTGCTCTCAACTGCCCTTGAATTCCTGGGAGGACCTCAGGAGAGGGTCTTTCTCCTCTCTCTGACTGTGGCAGGAGGACCAAGGCCCTCTGCTGGGTCTCCAGCATCCTAGCTTGCAGAGATGAAAAAAGCAAATGTTTCTTGGGCAGCATGGGTGTCTGTGAGCCTCTGGGATGGATCAGAGCACAGGGCCTGTGGGATCTCACGCAGGGTCGGGGTGCAGCAGTGCCACACTGGTGGGAAGAGAGAAGGAAACACAGAAATCGGGCTTGCCTATTGTGTCACAGCAAGGAACACAAGGGTCCAGGGCAGACATGGCTTCTGGTGAATCAGAAGTGAAAGCCTGGCTGGGGTGTGTTCCTGGATCTAGAATCAGCCCTGAAATACCAGTGCCCGGGGCTCTCCCCAGCCATTCTCCCCAGGGCTGGGCTCCCTGGGAGTGCAGGGCTGGAGTCCCAGGAGCTCAAGGCTGCCCTGAAAATTCCTGAGGTCTTAGACCAGGTTGCCATGAAGGGAACCTGTCAGACCTGCCCAGGCCCAGTCTGCCCTCACAGTGACAGCTCCTCACGCACCCGTCGGCCTGCCTGGCATAGAGACAGAGGGTGCCGTGGGTGTGCAAACTCTGACTCACATTCCACAGACTGCAGGGGTGGGATCTACAAATTTTGTCACTGGCTTGGCAAGAAAAGTGAGGCAAATCTCCTCTGAGAAAAAAGAAAGTGTGTGGTCAAACTGAAAGTCCAAAGCAGCCTGAGACAGAACAAGTTGGACTCTCCCACTGTCCTCAGGATGTGCCTTCTGGAACCTCAGCTGTTTATGTGACACCAGTCAGCACCCGGAGAACCCAGCTACAGGACTCCAGCTTACCAATCTGTCATTCACATGTAGCTGGCAATTCGAGAGTGCCTGTGGCTGGCCCTGGCGACAGCCTGGAACTCCTGTGTGAGGGGACTAGGTGCAGCCCAGGATGGCAGGGGAGGGATTGTCGGGTCTTTGCCCATGGAACACAACTTGGGCTCAGAACCGTGGGAAACATCGCTGGGGGGAAATCACAGCAACCTACACAAGCTACATGGAGAAAGGAGGACATTATCCCCGCATGGCAGACAGGGACAGTGCAGCAAGGTTCTGGCTTCTTCAGAGGCTTTTGTCCACGTCTAACACAAAGCCTATATGCAAAATGCAAAGATGCCCAAAGATAGGGTCAAAAGAATTCCAAGTCCCCTGGAAGACTGGCTAGAGGGAAAGGCTGGGTAAACAAGTAGGGGGGTGCTGCTACCAAACGGCCCATAGCATATTTAGAAAGGGGGAGGGGCAACTGTTTTCATCCCCTGAGGGCAAGCAAGCCGGGTTCCCTAATCTAAACTGTCCATGAGGAGTTCAAAGGATCCGGCTCTGTTACAGAGCTCAGTCTCTCCTCAATCGTCAACTCTCTGTGCATAGGGACTTCGCTCTGTTTGGGGGAGCCTCTGGGCTCTTTCCATCTTCGGTGATTTTGATGGGCTCACACTGCAGCCTTCCCAATCAGCCCCTGCCTTCCCAGTTGGGGTTCTCCTGGTTCCTTCTTGCTGCTGTTTTCCCCAAATTCTCTAGTCTTGCCTAAACACTGCTGCAAAATTCATCTTCCAAAAGCCTCATTCTATTCATCCCCCACCTGCAACCTTCAGTGGCTCCCTATTGCCCTCTAAATAAAGTCTAAAGTCTTCATCTGCTGGTCAAGGTGTCACACAGGTTAGACCAGGAATTCTCAAATACTTGTTCCACGCACATAAAAACCTCCCAGGAAGTTTGTCTGAAAAGTGGATTCTAAGCCTACTCACGCGGAGGCTGCTTCCCCCTGGACTGGGGACCCAAATTCTGCAATCTGACATGGACCTGGGGGCTCTGAAGCAGGTAGTCCTCATGCTGCATTTTCTGAAACATGAGTTTAGGCCTCATATCTCCAGCCTCTGTCCTAGTCTCCCTTCCACCTCCTGACCCCGCACTCGGGGCCATGCTATTCCCCAGCTCCAGGGTTTTTTCCATCTCCAGGACGCCAGGAAAGTCTCCCCACATCTCTGCACAAAAGAGCCTCATCTGACCAAGCATGAGGCCTTCATGTGACACTCACTGCTCCTCTGTCAGTAGGGCTGTGTGACAGGTGGGTGTGACCTGTGCTGAAGAGGGCCAGGGTATCTGTTTAGGGGCCATGTGGAGTGTGTGTGCATTTTATATTTTGGGGTGACGAGAAGGGGTGGTGGCATGTACAGGATATGTGCATTTGGCAATGATGGAAGGTGTGGGGTCAATCTGAGGGGTGTGTGTTTGTGCAGTAACATGACCCGTGTGTTCAGGGAGGGAATGTGAACTGTTTGTGTAATTGTGATGTAGTGACAGGTGTGTGTATCTTTGGGCAGAGGGGAGGTGTGTATGAAGGGATCATGTAATACATCACGCGTGGTGTATGTGTGAGGTATGTGAGCATCTGTAGCAGGGGGGTGTGTGAGTAAGTGTACACCGTATATCTATAGTACAACGTAGAGTGTATGTGGTGTGAGATGTGTGTTTATGGTGTGATGTGAGGTGTGTATTTGGGGCATGATGTAGAGAGTGTGTGTTGCCTTTGTGGTGTGATTTGAGGCATGCATGCGTATGCGTGTGTGTGGTATGAAGCGTGTGTCCATGTGTGATATGAGGTGTGTGTTGGTGGTAAGATGTACAGAGTGCATGTTTGTATTTATGGTGTGATTGGAGGTGTGCATGGGTGTAAGGTGTAGGTGTGGGGTGACGTGAGGGTATGTGTGTGAGTCTGTGGTGTTCGGGGAGAAACACAGGGTGCCCTGATGCACACATAGCCTCAGAGTGATGTCAGGAGGCCTGGATTCGAGGTGTGGTGTTCTAGATCCTTCCTCTCCTGGACACCACACCTAAAGACCCTGTCCCATGGTGAGCCCTCTTCTGCATAGCCACAGGGGATCACCCCTGACCCCCTACTTGCTTCTGACTCACCCAAGACTGATCCTGAACCTACCGCAAGACATGACATTGGCCGTGGGGACAGTATGTGCTCATTCCATGTATGACATTGCCCACATATGGCAGACCCAGTAGGCCAGAGAGGTGTGACCCAGAGGAGAGCCCGCGTGCCTTGCCCTGTGTCTGTGGACTTCCCACCTCGGTCAGGGGAGCCCACCCAAACTCTAGCACAGCAATGCAGCAGGACGAGTGTTTTCATTTCTCTACTGTCTCAAAAAGGGTCTTGGTGGAACCAACAACAAAAACCACAGCTGGAGGTTAGAAGTCTGAAAACAAGATGCCAGCATGGCCTGCTCCTGGCTCATGGGAAGAATACCCCCTTGCCTCTTCCCGCTTCTGATGCTCCCTGCAGTCCTGGCAGTCCTCGTCTTCTGCATGCACCGCTCCCATCTCTGTCCTCACAGGCCTGTCTTTTCCCTGTGTGTCTCTCTTCTTATGACACCAGTCATATTGGCTTAAGGGCCCACCCTACTCCAGTATGATCTCAACGTAATTAATGACATCTGCAGCAACCCCATTCCCAAATAAGGGCACATTCCGAGGACTGGAAGTTAGGATTTCAATGTATCTTTTGAGGGACACATTTAACCCACAAAAACGTGGTTTACAGTGGAACGTGAGC